GTAGACTAGTTTGGCGAAATTCGCCGTATTACCAAAGATTGTGCTGCTTTATCATTATGTATTTATAGAATACATTCATTCAATTCAATTAGTACAACCCTCCAATGGTAAAGTCCGGATCGTATCCAACTCAAGTTATAGTTCCTGTTGTGCTGTCCCCACTCTATTTTTTATTATTTTTATTATTTTTATTATTTAGTTAACGTTTACTACGTACATTATTGCATGTTATATAACGCATTTATTATTCCTTATTATATGAATAAACGAAAATTCAAGTTCAAGATAATGTTTTTTTACTGTTATTGAACTATTTAATAATAGTTCCTAGGCTACTAATTGTTAGATCCACTGAATCTAGTAAATAGGAACCGGTAGATAATGTCTTAATCCAAAAATGAACAAAGAAACGTACCTACTCTAAATTCATCAGATCACGTAGCCACAAAGACATGTCTGACTTAAGTCGTCCCAATCCCCTGGACCGTCCATAGACGATTGAACTTGTCCTTTACAAGGCGATATTTAATCCAGAACGGACGGAACAGAAACGGTAGTTTAATGCCCACTCGTCCAAGTGTCAGCTGTCTACTTTGGCCCTGCGACCGTATCCGGACGAATCCGTGGCTGCGCGTGGTTTCTATATGCAAATCCACTCATAACTCACCGTGAACGTATCGGATGGAACGCAGACTTCTCCCTCTACTTTCCGCAGTTCCTGAAAGCGATCCGTGGCCCGTGTCTCGGCGCTGCTCCTCGAAATGTAAATCGTTAGGTTGGGCCCCCGTCACGCTGGAAGTACTAGAAGCAGCGGAAAACAGACTGGAACGTGTCACTTCGCTTGGAATTCACGATACAAACGAACAGGTTTCGTACGGTTCTCTGAGTTATTTACATCTGATCTAAATTTATTATTTACCGTCTTACTTGCTAAAAATCTGAGACATAAATAATTCTATGGACGAGATTTGGTACAGTTTTGTGGTTACTGGTTTCGACATTCTGTAGTAACATAGACGATAAATGCTCCAAAGATTAGGGACCTTTTGATTCGGTCCTTAACACGTAGAAGATAATTCCCCTGACGATCTCCTAATCCCGATAACCAACCTATGGTCTCGATGATTCGATAATTCCAATTCTCTCATAATCCTGATGATCTGATAAGCCCAGGTACCTGATAGTCTTGAACGCTTGACCCTGGTAATCTGATAGTTTCACTAGCCATCGATGATCCTGATAATTCGATAGTACCTACCGACAGTATTGACACTCGATAGCCTATAGAGATTCTCAGTGGCCTAGTAATCGCGACAAATCGACAACCAACGATAAATTTAAAATATACATTCAATAGTTTCGTGATACTAATTACATCTGCCATCTTACGGAACAACCAATCGTTCGATAAATATGCCGAATCGATGGTACGCGTAATCCCCGAGGCCACGTTTAACGAGCAAAACGGAGATCGTATTCGCGGCATGGCACAATGCCCGTGACGATTTACATCGTTCGAGGGAGAAAGGGAGACCGGTGACACGACGATTCCCGCTGACGGATCGCAACGTCATCATAATTTACTCGGGAAAACGTAATCCCGACGCGGCAATATCGAAACGGGCCAATATCGTTAACTCTAATTCGCTTGCGTTCGCGCACGCATTGTCGAGCGGCAATAACCGGATTAATAATGCGGCCCGCGTCGATAATAATCGTGGAATCACGTACCGCGGCAATATCGGACCAGCTCTCGATTTTGGTTAACCGCGCCGTGAACCAAGAAATACAGAATTACACGTGCGCGCGCGACACGTCCCCGCGGGTTCGATCAATCCCGTACAAATCTGTCGGGTCTTCCTTTCTCCTTGGAAATAATTCATCGATATCAGAGAACACGCAATCTTTCGATTTTTGAACTTCTAATGGTACGCCTGACGTCTTACTTACATGGTTTTCTATAATTAATCGAATTTGATCGAAGCAAGGAGATATCGTCGGATATTGGGCCGTTCAGGCACGTTTGTATGCAGCCACACGTGGTTCCTGTCGAGTTCGTCGACGCGTTTCTCTCTTTTTTTTCCTACGACTTCCGTTTTGTGTTTCGCGGCCGAACGCAATCATTCACTCTCCAGGCACCGTCGTGGACATTGTTTAAGTCTATCGCGATAAACCCCGGCTGCATTTCCGGGCTTCGCGTAATCGTTGCACGCGCAATGAATTTTATGACGGATACGTGCGGCGAATTTGTCAGGGTCGAGAAGAGATAATGTAACGTTCCCAGCGATCCTGTCCAACAACTCGATGGGACTACCGCGAGGCGATTGATTCCGCGAACACAAACGGACAAACGTGTGACAGAATGTTTTGCCTAGTATCCAAACTTTTAGAGGACTCAATTACTTTTATGTAGACGGTACATTAACATCTACGAATGTGATCCTTTAAAGGGGGTATTCCCATTCGGAGGGGTGAAAATCGATTTTATTTATTGTATTTTCTTAAAGTATAACACGTTGGAAATATGTTCCCAAAATAATGTGCTTCAATTCATTGAAATCAAAATTCCAAGCTCTATCACTATTCTGAACGTCATTAAAACCTTGTCAGTGCCGAGGGGCCTTCGAACACTCCTCGAGGATTTACTGTATTCAAGCTACAGCACGTGCCACGACGCAATGTACCAATACAACGAAACAGTAGTTTAAACTATTCCCATAAAAAATTTCTTAATTCCAATTCGCCTCCGATCAGACATAGAACACCGGTTAACACACACCCTGTAGCCTGGTATCCGTCCAGCAATGTCACGATGCATTAAGGGCGAGGAGGGGATCCGCGGGATCGTCGATCGATCCGTTCGCCGAACAAAAGAACGCCTGGCCAAGCGTGAATAATATTTTCGGCGAGTGAGCTGTAAATGGCAATATTTTCTGGGGAGGGTGGTAAATGGCGTGGCTCGGATTCACGGTCAAAGACGGCCGACCAGGGGGATGGAAGTAAATGACTCGAACAGGGAACAAAGAGCAGTCGATGGAAAACGAACCGTGAAAGCCGTGGTGGAGACGGGAGCAGGGGGGATATAGGCGAAAACGCGATGCAACGCAGCAGCAGCCCACGGTGAAATATTAATTCACGGGTCAGAGGCTGCATTAGGCCGGAAGTGCAGTCGGATGGCCGGCCGCGCGGCAAGCTGTTGCATCCGGTTTCCTCGCGGGTCCACGTGACGACGACGACAACGACCTCGCGAAACGAGACGTCCGGTCCCGACGAAATAAACTTGGAAAACTTGATCTGCCACGAAGATCCTCTCGACGGTGCAAGTACTACGAAAATGTAGAGAAACTTTCTTTCCATTATTTACTGGGATGTATTGTTTACTGGGATATCGGTAGTGTTTTCAAACCATCCACTATTGTACTGTTTAGAAAAATGTTGATTGGCAGATCGGCGATTGAGATGTACCCCGAAAATATGTGTGACTTCAGCATTTGATAAATGGGATCACTTTTTTAGAGTGGCATAATAAAATGTACGCCTCTTTCTAACTCGCATTGAGGGAGTAAAAACAAATGAACAAGCTATAGCAATCGAGGACATGAGATCTGACCATTTATAAGCTTGATCATAAAAGAAAGATAATTGGCAACTCCGCGACCAACCGAAGTCATATTGAGTGTAATAATGGTTCGTAATCATGATCGTTATACCGCATAGGACTGTTCAGACTAAAAGCAATGTTACATGCTAACACGGCGCATGCCTACAGCGGTCGCAATGCCACACCCTATATGTATCTTAAACAGCATTATATTCTGTACAATGGTCCTTGTATGTACATTTGTAATGTTCCAATTTTCGAGGGAATCTTTAACCACAATGAACATTCAACATTTTCTTATACCATTTCTGTCATGAATTTCATGACTTCGAATTAATCTCCCTAATTGTGCCTAAATATTCCTACATTAAAGTTAACGATAGTAGACAAGTTGGTTGGTTAAATATAAGTTCGAGGAAGATTTCTATGGTTTCCTTGAATCAAACCGTATTTCACGTATATTACGAACGGGATTCGCTAATTGGCAGCCATCCTTGACTAGCCGTCAGGATCCTAGATCGGAGGTTCATCGACGCACCTGATCTCTCCCGTCGACCCGTCACGACACACGTTTCTGTCCCTGACGTATCTATACGAGAGGACGGACAGACAGGCCGGTGGGGGGATCCGGTATGGGAAGTCGATGAGGAAAATTCGATGACCTATATATCCGATGCACAATGCGGCTGGCACACAAAGGCCGGCGGGAGATACGAAGTGCTTCCGCGACTCCGTATCGATTCAGAATCAATACGGCGTATCTCGATGATGTGTCAATACAAAGAGCCCCGGCGCGCAACGAGCTCCGTACCAGCCTTACAATTGGTTCTTGTATCGAAGCCAACTAAAGGCCCCCGGGAGCTACGAAGGGCGAGGGTTCCTTGCATCTATCTCGTCGTGAACTCCCTGAAAACTACGACACCGGTGCGAATTCGCTGAGACTTGCTGACAAGTCGAAAATTGAATATATCTATCCCTGTGGAACGTCAGTCGATCATTTGCCTTGAAATTTAGTGTTTTCGAACCTGTTCCTGATTAAAAATCGAGTCGAAAACGAACATAGAAAAGAATCTTTGGCAATTTCGATAGGTCTCATTTCTATCGAATTTAGGTTGCAGTGCTGAGATTTGGATGAGAATTACAAAGATCTAAATGTTAGTGTACGATACAGATGCAAACAAGCTTAAAATGTATTTCCTTCATATTTCGATTAAAGGTTGAAAAATCGATTATCCACATCCATCGAACAGTGTTACATCGTGATTTGTAAAATGTACACGCGAGGAACGTGCTTGTACACGGTCTTTGTTATTTGTAGCGGAATGTTTGCCAGACACGGGCGAATTCCGACAGAAAATTTAATAACGCGCCTTCAGGACGATCTTTGTTTGCTCCGCAGAACGAAAACAGAGCGCTGCGACTAAAGGAGCCGGCGTCGGTACCCCTCTCCGCCGGAAATTCCGGCAACTACGTGGACCCAGATGGCACCGCCATTGTGATGTCGTCTGAGCTGTTGCCTGCACCGACTCCGGATCCCAGAGTAACATGGAACTACTTCGACGAGCAAGGGTAACAATAATTTCCTAACGAGGTTCTCATGGAGCACAGTGTCGTCTAATCGATCGTTAAAAAAATCAGCGGAATTATTTTCTGTAATGCTCAAACTATTTTTAATTATCAACTAATAGGATTACATATTATTCGTATAACTGATAGAGAAAGTGAATTAGAATTCAGGCTTCGTCCTACCACTCAGAGCACATACATTTGAATATGCACTGCGTGGCATAACTATAAAACCTCTTTAATATTATTTCTCAACACGATTTCAGACATGGCATGCATGGTTCGTTTTTATCTTAATCACAATACATAAGAATTGAAACTTTTAAGGTGGTTTTATAGTTATGCCACACAACTTATATTCATTATTATCGTGACGGTACACCTCTTTATTACCACGTTACATTAAAAACCCTACGAGAAAAAGAATTGGATTTCCTTTGCTATTCCTACAGTAAGACAGAAAAAGTAATTTCTTATTGCGCAGATGATACGGTATAATGTAAAATTTAATGTATAACTTCGACGAAGTAGAAACCGAAAGTATTCGCGAAGTAGTTAGGATGCAGCATCGCCCCCGCAGATCGGGAACTGAATACTAATAAGCGTGTCGGCCGTATGCATTGTTAAACGAACGAAAAGACGTTCCGAGATCCGCTATTAATGCATCCGCAACGGGACTGCGGATTTCAAGTTAGAAGTTAGCGCATCGGCGTTAATTATTCAAACGATAAGATCGTATTATCTGGCGTACAAGAGATTTCGTCGTCGAAGCTTCTCTGTTCTCCGATTCGGTCGTGGAGACAATGTTTTCTAACTGATACTTTGTTTTTTTAGGTACGTCTCGAGGGGAGGTCTGCGAGCGGGGGAAGATCCATACGCGCGAAACAAATTCAATCAGGAGGCTTCTGACGGACTTCCCAGCAATCGAGACATCCCGGACACTCGCAGCGCCATGTAAGTAAATTTTATACACAGTTTTCTCGTAGTCGCTTAACTCTAACAAGGGAAGGACCCCAACTGTCAGACTTCAAAACCCTGTTAAAATCGAAATCGGACAGTTGGTATGCTTCCCTTGTGAATAATTCTACCCAGAAAAAAAGGGAAGAATATTCACAAGACTTCATAAAAGTTACCTGATATATAAAAAAAACGTGAAACGTATCGAAGCATTTGTCGTTCGACTCGATATCTCGACACAGCCTTCAAACCGATCAGAAATAATCGGGCCCGCAAAACGTCACGATCGTCGTTACAAAGTTCTATCCGAATAAATTCTGCAGTAAACATTTTCCTGGAAAAGTGTATCCGTTCGTCTGAACAAAATGCGTGTACCCGAGCAATCGACAGAGACGACTCGACGTCGGTCGTTCAGACGGACCACGAGCGGTTTTCGTTGGACACGGAACAGAAAAGCGAGGAACCTGTCGTGTCGGTCGATCAACCCTTTCATACATTATTACTGGAAGCTTCTGGAGGTGTACGGGAACGATTATTCGTCGCCGATAATTGCAAAGATCGCCGCGCATCGCTGGGAATCGATGATGATGCCCGAGAAGCAAATTTACGTACGGGCCGCGACGGAGCAACGAAAACGAAGAATAAAAGCTATCGCCCGAAGGAAATAAGGTTCCACCTTAAGAATTTCACGTCCCGTTAAAATTCACGATCCTGTCCCAGCCCCCAAAGGCAATCTAATACAGTAGTCCCGTTCTATCCCTCTCGGCCGTAGATTCTTCCGGGGTGGCTCGAAGGAACGCGCGTGCAACCAGGACTTTGAAGAGGCCAAATTAACGCAGGCTGATACATTTTCGTTCTAAGAGTTACAATCGTCTATGAAAATATGACGACTTCCTGTTCGTCGAGGAAATATTGTCCAGTAATTGTATTCGTAACTTCCTGTCGAGTGATATGTCCATTGGTGTGTGGAGAAAAAAAATACAACGCGATTATTTCCATTGAATATTCGATCTACCGCGAGAATCACGACGATGTTTACATTTGTATCGAAGAGAAATGGGATATACATATTTCTTTTTCGACCACTGTTAATTTTACGACCATTTATGGATATTCTATATTCTATTGTCATTTTATTGTACCCAGGTATCGTGAAATATTACATCGGATTTGCATATTATTCCGGCTATTATTTCCGCGGCGTGTTTTTGGCATTCGCTTCGTTGGATAGCACCCGCCGTGACATTATTCCGGACCAGCCGGGGAGACAATTGACTCGTTCGATTAAATATAGCCGCTTTTGTGCAAACCTCGGTGTGTGTATATAAACACGGTGTTGGTAAATTATAGACACGAACGTGGGCTAGGAAAAAGCTTTCAATTGAAAGTCGTTGTTTCGTTCTGATTCTTTTTTCACACGCAAGAGCTCTATTTGAACAGTTTATTTCGTTCTGGTACTCCCATCGGTCTTCGAGTACATATGTTACCAATAAACCCGTTGTATCGACGAGTCGAATTACCATACTGTAATGTTCATATATTTTTTAAACAAATATGCAACTCTATGGACGCGTTCAAACGAAGGAGAAATATTCTGGGGCTGATCGAACAGCAAAAATAACGCATCGCAGCAACCAGAAACGAGAATGGGAATGGCGACAGGAGGCAGGAACACCTGGTTAACCAACCGAATAGGGTCTGCGGTGTTCGATATCGGAATTTCGTTCGATCGACCAAGGGGCTCGAGGTCTCGACGACGTAAAATCTGTGACTTTAGGCGAAAAAGGGAACCGTGTCTTTCGTCGGGGGGAACGAGGCGAGCGGGTTTGATTCGGCGCCGACCGTGAACAGGCCTGGAAATCCCAATCCCGCCAAGCGAAATGGGATTGAGTTCGCGAAGTTTAGAGGTCTCCTGGTTAATGGTATTGCCTACTTCCTACACCTCTCGCCTATCCAGGGGCTAATAAAAACACTGCCACCGGGCCGGTTTTCGTTCTCCCTTGCAGAAAATCGTAATCTAAACATCGTGAACTTCTGACCCCCGTTGTTACAAGGTTATCGAACAGCTGGTACTCTTAAACAATGTTTCCAAGAACAGAAAAGAGAATCAATTGTGGCAGCCAATAAAGTATGGCTGTAAAATCGGATGACATTAGCCTTTAGAGGACGGAAGCCTATTTTTCCAATAGGAGGACGGATTCAACGACCTATAGCATGATGGTATTAAACAAAAATATGCATTCACCTTAAAAGAAAATTCAAAATCACCATTATATCCAAAAAAAAAAATAAGCTATAATATCACATTGTATCCATCCAATGGGAATGAGTTATTTTAGATAATAGTTCTTCTTGACTCACCCTGTATGTGCATACGTAGACGTACCTCCAAAAAGGGTAAATAAAATCCGTTTATCGTCGCTTCCGTGTACCAAAGCGTATTTCTGCAATTTTCTTCGCCAATGCTATTCCAAGTGAAACAAATCTTTCGTAATAAAATCGAATACTTTCTTCGCAATTTTTCTTTGAAATGTTGTCTAAAAGCTAACAAAGTTGATCGATGGAATTTCGAAACGCTATCATCGCTGAAGTCGCACAATATTTATCATTTGGGCTGTATAAACGAAACTTCCATATAATGTTCGTATCGAGAGTCCAACACAGATTGCATCTTATTAATTAAAATTCTGAAATCCGTAGCAGGGTGGTAGGGGGATCCGGTGGCAGTTCGACTCTAGCGGTGGAGTGTTTTCCTTGGCAAAGCGGGGGGCGCGGCGCGATCGATAGCACTTTGAAATCGAAAGGCTCTCGCCTTGTATTCCTCGGTTCGGAATGCATTTTCCGTTCCCGCCTTTCCGACTGTCTCCGCCGGAGCAGGAGGACCCTTCAATCCACCACGATGATTTAATTTCCTGGCTACTCTACCTACTCTTTCGCCCCCACCTCTCCCCTTGCGTTGACTGTATCCTGTTTCACGTGAACAGACGCGTTCAACAAGTAACTCCCGAGAGCTCCGTTTCGATCCTCCGTCGACAAAATCTTGAGACCTCAACGGGAGCCTCGTGCGCTTAGATTTTCGAAAAACGCGCTGCGCAACTTTTGGAGATCGAGAAACACACACAGATCCGTTCCCAGAGTCGCGATCGTATTTTCCGAAGCATTTAAGAGCACTACAGTGATTCCTCGATGAATGCGACACGAGCAACGGCGTTATTCCCACCATTAGGGGAATCTCCCTTTGTAACCAATCAGGAACTAATTCGAAAATATAAAAAGTCACGAGAAAACCTGCCCCTGTCTTTTAAAATCTAAAGGTTAATATGAACTCTAAGCTATTCCACTTCTACAACGATTGAAAATTCTAATCACATTGCTTCGCATAACTTCTGGAAGTATTAGAAACGTATCCAAATAATCATTCCCTCGAATAAATATATTTGTACATCGCTAAAAGGCTATTATTATACTGGTCTCGTTTGACGTTTACCGTTCCAGGTAAATTAACCCATCTCTGTTATCCATGACCGGTGAACCCCAAGGGAAATATTATGTGTGTATACACACGATCGTTCAGATCGGTGTTAATTTTGCTCACTTCGTTCCAATTCCAGGGGAGCACACAATTTCATGTAGCAACGTGTGACGTTCTGGCAATGGTTCGGAGGGGGCGATCGTTTTTGAAACGGGAGAGGTGGGGGGCTGAAGGAAATCTCCGATAGGCAATCTCGACGCGATGTTATAAAGTCGGATTCGAGGGTCCTGATAACGGGGAAACCTCAGGAAGCCAGGGAGTCCGATCGTCAGCATTGCAAGAGCTCCTCTCGATGGAGTCGTTTCACCATTTACATAGCATTCGTGGGCTATCGGATTTTCGGCGGGGGCAATCGGCGTCCGCTAAACGTTATAAACGGCGGTACGATGCAAATGACATTTAAACAACAATTTACCACGCTATTTGCGTTACAATGAATATTAATGGGCCCGCTGTTTCGCGCGTTACATTCGGCATTCTTTACGAGCTCATTTCACCTCGATTGCGTTCTGCTGGGCGCCGTGATCGCCCTAACACGATATACGAGCTGATTAGTGATAAGTAGACTGTGGATTTTATGGGTTTGTAACCGGGCACGATCGTCTGAAATTCAACGGAATAGAATTATTCAGAAATCTACGTAGGGTTTCATTTGGAATACCTGACAGAACCCTTTATACAGACAAGAAATTTTGTTCATTATTCGTCGAATTCGTCGAAATTACGAACACCAATTATTTATGAATGATGTCATAAATTAATGATTCATCGTTTAAGTATTTTATGTTCTCGTTTATGTATTGCGATGACGAGAGAACGGAAGAGAATTGGCGGAAATTAAAAGCGGCTGAATATTTCAGAGGTCCATTGCGGCAGGGAAAAGTCAGGAACGATCAAAACCACCGCAATTTCTGTTACTCGAACCGAGTCTCGAAGTGACATGTTTAATGCAACGGCGCGAGTCCAGGCACATAGGCGAGCCAGGTGCATAAATATTTTAGTTTTCGATGTTACGTATAAGTGATACAACTATTCCATTATCGGGGGACGAGGATAAGAAACATCGGGAACAGGGATCGGCCAAGTAGAATGAAACTGCGGGCGTAAATAATTCATGAGGGACCGAGTTACATTTTGACGTACGGAAACGATACTTTCCAACCTTATAACTCCTCCAATTGTGTACTCTTCTTCCATTCCCTTTTTCCCGAAGAAAATTCTATTCGAAGAATAATTCCAAATTGGAACTTTTCCAAAGATCATTAAAATCTGGGTGGATCTACTGAAACTTCAATGGATAGCCAAGTATAAAAGAATCTTCAAATGATTTAGAATAAAAATATCTTTATTTATTTACAGTGTATTAAGAAATGATAGGTTCAATCATAGTTGTGGTGTAAGTCATGGACACATTGTATCAATCGACCATAACTATGACTGAACCTATCATTCCTTAACACACTGT